CTTTTATATCCTTACATTTTACATGGGGTTTTTTAGGTTATGTGTGATGTTTAATTTGCTTATAGTTTAATAATTAAATTGTTTGATGTAACTTTTATTGTACCAGTTTTATCTAAGGGTTCCATACTTTGTTTTTATCATTGTCATTAGTGTCAGAAATTAGGTCAAATATGTTATTTTTGGCTGTAAAGTTGCCTTATGGCGTTTCAATGTTAATTTTTAATATAAATGTTTTTCTTGAAATTATAGGTTTATTTATTGTTAAATTGTTATAAATGTTCTCCATCCTCCTCTATGGTAGGTTAAACAGGCTATTTGGTTCGGTTACACAGGCCATTTAGTCCTGAACAATCGAATTTAGTTTTCCTCGGATTATGTACCATTATAATACCTAAGTATACTGAGTCTTTGACGCGTTATGATGAGTGAGCCTAACACGAGTGAGACGATTTGATGAATCCATATGGCTAAAAAGAGAAAACAACACGCCAATAGATCCTTCAAACTGTCAAAAAACACATTAATTGGAGCGCTGCTCACAAACAAGGTTTCCAAACCAGTGTTACCAGTCTAGTACAATTCACAATTGTACTAGATGTAGTACATTCTGCGTGCATCAGTGTTCACGTGTAAAACATATATATTTTGGGTTCGTTAAAAATAAAGACCCCCTTTTTTTTCCTCTTCAATGAATTTAGATGTCAATGCAAATAGAATTCAAAAAATCTGGTACATTTAAGGAATCTGGTACATTTTTTAGACAATCTGGTACATAACAAAAGCATATTCTGGCAACACTGTACCAAATCAAACAAACTGTCGTCCCGTCATCCGTCATTTCTCGACTATGAAACGGAATGAAACTTTAAATAAAACCACGGTGAATGACAATAATTGACTTTCATCGTAAATAAAACTAAGATTATTTTATTTATTCTCATTTAAAAAACTGTATTTAATTAAAAATTGTGACATTAATAAATTCAAAATATGTGTTTTCAACGATTGTTCCCGAAAAGGCAATGTAAATAAAAGTATTTTTAAAGTTGTTTTATTTATTATTATTATTATTATAAAGTTTTACGAATCTAATTTGTTTTATATTTTGTTTCAGTGTCTAAGACCATTTTAAGACTACTTTAAAATGGTCTATTTTGTATCCAATTGTAAATACTATTACAAATTTTTATTTTCCACAAAACCCGCTAAAAGAAAAACAATTATTTATTCTGATAAGGTAACTACATCATTATGGAAATGTAAAATAAACGTTTGATAAAGATATAGACACAAATGGTTTTTCACTTTAAAAGTCTGAATCGGAAAAATGGATCAACCAGTTAAATTTAATATACCTACTTATAATGAGAAATTAAGAAATAGTATGTACATTTAAATAGTTTGTAAGTTATTTTTGCCTGTAATGATCAATCGTGTTACCCTCTACTTTAGACTTTGTGCTTACAAACTTGGTAAATTAGTTTACAGTTCATAATAAAGTATGTCTCGAAAAGAGCAATAATAGTCCAATTAAATAACGAAAAAAAGCCCCTTCGAGCTTACATTAATTTGTAATTGGATGAAACAAAAAAGACCTTGTGTATTTTGATGTGATCTTTCCGAAAAAAAGAAAAAAAAGATCTAGCAGTTTTTCAATTATTTTAAATTAGGGAAAACCGGGTTTTCCGGAATTTTCCATTGTAAAAATGCTAATTATCTGGGCAAGTATCATTCCGATAGTGAAAATAAATGCACCGTTCGAAAAAGGAGGCAAAAATAGTTCGGAAATTCATTGCACAGGTAGTTTTAATGGCGAATTTATCGCCTCCAGAAGTGCTTTTACCAAAAAGTCGTTTTTTCGTTTTTTTGATCAGAACCATGGACATGAAATTTGCGATAAATTTGTGGCGAAATTATAAATGTTAGACATATGTGCCCATGAGAGAAGTTGCGTATTTTTTTTGGCTCTCAAATAAAATAAGTCCCGCAACGAAATCTGCCATAATTTTTCGGGAATTCGCAGGAAACCAGAGGGCGTAGTTTTTTTTTTAATTTTTTCCCATATTATTTTTTCCGGGTTTTCAGAAAACATCTAACAAAAAAAATATATTTGAAAAAACTAACTTCGCCATCGAAAAGATCACAAAAAATACACAAAAAGGTATACTTTAAAAATGTTAGAAAATTAATCCTAAGCCTGAGTGTAAGTTCCAACTTGGTGATAAGCTTGCTTTTTGTTCTCTAATATCTGGTTTTTAGTTATTTACAAGAAAACTTGAAATGGGAGAAGATATATATGCATGACAAAAATACGTATTTTCTAGTTACGTTCCGAACTTTTTGAAAAAAATTGCAAAACAATTTTTTCTTAATTTCTCGTACTTTTTTCTTAATTAACTCGAAAACTAATTATCTGAATAGAAAACTGTTTCCATCAGATGATAGAAAAAAAAAAGACACGAAAAACTGTGGCATATACATTTTTTCTAGCATCCACTGTTTTCTGAGCGCACGTGTGCAAAGGTCGGTAATTCTCGCGAGAATTGAAGCTACTGGAATTTTCTGGCAATTGGGAGAGAAAGTAAGCTTGTTTTTCATTAAACTTACTGATTCTAATGTATTTACAGTCTGTAAAGTGCCCAAATTACGGAAAAAATCGACAGTGTGCTTGTTTTTTCTCAAAAAAAGGGAAAATGTTGGATTTAAGAAAAAACCACTCGTTTTACGAGCAATTTTTTAAGCACAAAAATGCGTAGTTTTCGGTTATATTTCGAATGTCATAGGTCGCATTGCAAATCTGCAATAGTTCACCCTCTGCAAGTGTCTGATGACATAATAAACACAGGCCAGCCATTGCAACCTGGAAACAAAAAAATTATAGCACTGTGATAGAATTTTCTTAATTTAGGAACGTACTTACTCAATAAATTTCTGAGAAGTTCGAAAAGCCACGTGTTCACAGAGCTTGCTGAACACGGTTATTAAAAATATATGCCGATGAACACTATCAAGCGATTCAATTTGTAAAAATATGACCGTTTGAAGTTTAAACTTGTCAGATAGCGAACGCCGAGACCATTACTATCCTTGATGCGACGTGCGGCTAATTTGACGGTAATTCTATATTTTGCACAAAACTCAAGAAACGTCTTATAACAAGTCAGTAAAATACAATTTAATAAATTTTAAGTAAGAAATTTAAAACCGAAATCACAAAAAAATAAAGTTACAGTAATGTAGTGTATACACGAGTTTTGGATTCCGCGGAGCGCGTGTAATGGGACTTTTGTCAAGAAAATTCTACAACTTAAAAGAAACATACACACTTTAAACTTTGTATATACATTTAGAAGACATGAAATTTGGGTTTGCTTAATTTTCAGACTAAAAAACTAAAAATTGTCAATTTAAGGCAACTTTTCTCAAAAACCGTGTTTTTTGGTCGACACTCAATGAACAGTGGTCAAAAAAATGGATAAAATACATTTGCAGAATTTTCCGTAATGCAATCGTATTCTAGACACGATAGAGTACTCAAAAAAAAAAGTTTTGAGCCATTGGGTGCATTTTTGGCATTTTTGTGCCTTTTCAAACTTTCGAAAAATAAATTATTTTTTTTTTATAACTTAGCCAATTATGATCCGATGTCGGTGAAATTTACACAAAGATAAGATTTCACATTTAAGAGTAAGCTTTGTAAGTGGTATTAAAAAAATTCAAATATTTTGGCCGTTATAGGCAAACAATGAAATTAGGACCGCGGTACAATTTGCCCTTCCGCCATATGCTCAATTTTGGGATTTCTTTTGCCCCCTTCTGGGAGTTACTAGTCACATCCATTAAGTTCAAAATGCATTATTGTTTTTTTAATTATCTTAATTTTTACCAATATTATGAAGAATTTAGTGTTTAAACATTTAACAAATTCAATTTTTCGACCTTCGTCGCCTCAAAATACTAAACAAATTGCAATCGTCTATACCGCGAGAACGGTGCATCGGATAAAAATTTCTTATGAGACATAAAAATTAGCATTTTTCCTATGCTTTCAAATGTCGTAAACTGCGTTTTAAAAATATTGATTTATTTCCGACATGCGCCTGCGCAAAATTGAAAAAATGACAAAATCCAAAATTTCGGCACTTTCGAAAAACTGCTACATTTTGTTTTGCCTTTTTTCGAAAAGATAACCTCAAAATACATAGAATACATTTTGTTTCATCTAATTACAATTTAATGTAAGCTCAAAACCCGTAATTTAATTCGATTATAAGTATCAAACAAATTTTAATTTTGATTAGGCACTTAACAAGTCACATCCCACATATCTACATGCTCTGGGTCATCAATCCTATAAGTACGAATTTTAATTGGTCCTTATTCTACGATACATTGCTTCCAGTAAGCCAGTAGAAAGATTTTGGAAATTTGTAAATTCCCCGGACACAATGACATTTCAATAGCAAATTGCATTTTAAGTGAAATTAATTCATTAATAATTGACGCACCAAATAAGTTGATCGCGCCCAGTTACGACGAAGCGTCAGTCATGAGCGGAGGTATAAATGGGGTACAAAAATGATTAAAGATAAATAATCTTCAGCAAATTATGTTCATTGCTATGCACATCAAATTAACGTTATAATAAGCAGTGCAGGTTCAATAAATGCGTTCGGATTTTTTCGCTCCTTTAACTGGAATTTTTGCTTTTTTTTTCTACATCACCTCAAAGAACAAAAGTATTGGATGATAATGTTCATAGACAATTACCACGCTCATCACAAACGAGATGGAACTTCCAATCACGAAAAGTTAATACAGTTTATGAATACCAAAATAAACTGATACACGTTATGGATATTTTAGAGAACGACAAAGATATTAAATTAAATTCTACTATTGAGCAAGCCGGTGTTTATAAACTTAGATTACAGGACAGAGATTTCAAATTTTGGTTAACAGTTTATCATAAAGTCATGCCACATGAAATAATTTTTTAGCAACTGCAGACGATTAATATCGACCCTATCAAGGCTAAACAAAATCTAAAAAACTTTAAAAATGTAATGCAAACAATTCGTTATGGAATGAATAAAATTATTGACAAAATAGACTCGGAGCTTTTAGAAACAGAAGATGAACTTGTTCCTCATAAAAGACGACGGTACCCTCGTTCCGATCTATCTGTTTTAACAAATAGCAAAATAGAAGCCTTGGAAGTTTGCGATTCCATTATACAACATATTAGGACACGATTCACTCTCACAGGACATCTGATAGCCACCGCATTATTCATGAAAGAACATTTTATCGAATACCAAAAAAACTTTCCTGATCAATTGCTTTCTGATACAGTTAACGCATATCATTTTCTAGAAAAAAATCGTCTAAAAACAGAACTGCAAGTATTTTACGAAAGAGAAGAGTTGCAAACCATTTATGAAGCCATTCTTCTGTTATCATTAGTTTCGCAGGAAGATATGAAGTACACTTCTCAAGAAACTATTAAAATACTGAAAGTTTTAGTGACAACACATATGTCAGCATCTGAAGCTGAATAATGTTTCTCTATGTTAAAGAGGATAAAAACTTTATTACACATTTCAATGAAAGAAGAAAACTAAGTAAATATTATCAGCTGAAAAAGTATTTCTAAATAACATTGATGACATCAATAGACGAGTGATTAACCTTTTAGCTAATAAAACAGAACGACTTCAAATATCGTTCAATGTAAACTATTCTTTATTTTACTGTATAGGTTTGGAGGGCAATAAATTACACCGAGGGAAATTTTTTGCTATGGTAGCAAAAAATGTGATAACCCTTAAAAAAAACTCTATTAAAATAGGCGACAGCCAAAGTACTTTGCTATGGTTAATACATTCACTTTTTTGGAATTACTTTTTAGTCCCTAAAAACTTACTTCTTAGTTTTTATTAATTATAGTGGTTAGAAAGTAAAATTTTACTAACTAAAAAGTAGTTTTTTATGGTTAAAAAGTAGGTTTTTAGTAGTTAAACAGTATTTTTATTGCAGTTAAAAAGTATTTTGTTACCTTGAACAGGCAGTTTTAATTCTTAAAGAATTATTTTTTATCTCTTAAAAATAGATTTTACTGGTTAAAAATTAGGCTTTTAGTGGTTAAAAAATAGTTTTTATTAATTAAAAGTAGTTTTTATTGGTTAAAAATTAGGTAATGATTAAGAAATTACTTTCTTTGCAATAAAAAATATTTTTTTTACCTTTAAAAGGTGGTAGTTTTAATTGATAAAAATTAATTTTTACCCTTAAAAAATTGTTTTTAGTGGTTAAAAAGTAGTGTGTAGTAGTTTAAAAGTAACCTTTTACCTTTAAAAAGTAGATTTTAATAATTATACGATTAGTTTTTACCTTTAAAAAGTATTTGTTGATGGTTAAAAGTAAATTTTGCTATTTAGGGCTGGTTTCTTCAGCTCTTAGGCCGTTTTTTTTTTTCTATAAAAAAATAAAGTTCAGTTAAAGTCGAAATACAAGAATGTTTTGCATGCATTAAAAAATGTCAAATTTCCAGATTTACCAAGGAAAACTGAACTTTATATTTGTTCATAGTGAAACCAGTTCTGTAAAAATAGAAAAATTAACTTTTTAGCCGTGTATTGGAAACTATATATAATTATTATAGCAAAATTTACCTAATATGTACCTACCTATATAATATACATACATTTTTATTTAACCTGTGGTGGAAATATAAGTATATCAACATAGGAAAGAAAGGGTTTCAAAAATAAAAGAGACGATTATTTTGTAATAAATATATTAGTTATATTGCTAAATATTTCAAAAATGTATTTGAATTTTAAAAATTCAGTAGGTTATGTAATATAAAATTGTTATTTGATAATTTATACTTATTTATCTTTAGACGTATAATAACGTAAGGCATATGTATCAAGAAATTTTAAATGAGCAGTTAGGAGCTTTAAATTATTCCGGTATTTATTCTTTGTGAAAAATCCTAAAAGAAATTTTATTCTAAATATATTGTTTTGTTTATTATAATATAGAATAGAATAAGAAAATCCATGCCATTAGGATATTAACAAAAATAGGTAGGAACATAAAAACATAACATTATTCTATCTACCAGGTGGGCCATTCCAAACGATCCTTCCTTAATATCTAGAAAAAAAAATTCTTTATTAATACTATCTCAGAAACGCAAATTTCGAATTTTAATAAACTTTAGCACCAGTCGTGGATCCTGGAAACCCCCTCTCTTAGTTCAGTAAGTTAAGAATTTAGATAAAAATTAATGTATTTTTAAGAATTGTTTAAATTTAGGTTTTTAAGGTCTGTAAAAGCTAAGGTTATACTGTTAAATGCAACAAAAAATGACGCAGTCTCCCGAATACTTTGTAAAACTGTCAAAATTCATTAAAAAAAAAAACTTAAGCCGGAACATTTAAAACAGAAAACATTTGAGGAATGCGCATTATCAATTTCCAAACAAAATTAAATAAAATAAGGTATACCTAAAAAGATAAAAATGTGCCATCTTTTCTACTAATTCTTATTTCTTATTCTAGGTTATTTCATGTATACCTAAACTATATACAGATGTGCATGTTTAATTTGCCAAAAAGTGGTACTAAAAAAATAATTACGAAACATTTTTGTTTTCTATTCCTTAATTTAATAAAAATATTAAAAAACACTGCCATACATGTGTTTTGTTAGAAATATCTGTTAATATTACTGGAACAAATAATTTTAATCTTAAACATTTAACCCTCAGTACTCAAAATAGCCTCCAAGTTCAATCAAAATAGAAAAAGGAATTTCTGATATCTTAATGAAAAAATTTTGCAAGATTTTTCGCTTTATCTACTGTTTTTTCCTTAATTAACGTTAAAGTGAGGAGTCAATGCATTTGAAACCGATAAATTAGAAGATATAAAATACTTCTATATTATACGTTATGTACTTACCCTTAAAATTTTCAACAAAATCTTGAAGTCCCCAATTAGTCAGCTTCTCTGTGTAATCCATTGGAAAACGAACACAACTTATGTACAATTATTGCAAAAATGGCGTCATACCTACGATTTGCCAACGTAACGTGGATGATCTTTCTGGCGGCTAGGGGTAATTATAACTAAAATCACAAATCAATCACCGGCTTGTTCTTGTCTGTGCCTGCCGATATACCGGGAACGGACTGAATGGAGTACACCGAAATTTTTTCGAGCACAGACGAAAAAGCTCTCGATCGAAACCGATCGTTATTTTCTAAAGATATTTTTTATTGGACTTAAAAAGCGAATTGTTATGATGGAAAATATACGTATTAATATTTTGAATTTCTACTACAGAAAATAAATGTTTAGTAATTAAAAACTATTTTTAGAGCAAAAATTATTTTTGCTGGTTCTATAGACTAAACAAAAATATTTGCAAAGGTAACAATTTTTTTTTTGTATGGCGACAAAACTACTTTAAAAAGCATTTTATTTAGTTGCATGAATATATTTTTTTAATTGTAGCTGAAAATTTATTTGTGGTAGCCAGAAATTTCTCAACAAAAAACTTTTTAAATATAATTCTCTCAGTGTACTGTTCAAAGCTAGATTCTGGTAAATTTTGATATTATTTATTATTTTGTAAAAATGATAAATGCTTACATTATTATATTTAAAAATATTACTCAAGATAAGTTTGTAACAACTTTAAGTCAAAATCTAGGTTAGGTACCCTAAAATGTCAATCTATGTGCTAATGCACGAGCCGCCACTGATGATAAAAACAGTAAAATTTTAAATTATAAAAGGGTTCCAGGTTTGACTCCTGCTTCACACTCATTTTTCTTTTCTTATTTCTCAGTTTCTTCAATTTTTCTTGGCTTTATTTTTACTTTGTGGATGAGGATGTATTTTTCATAATTTTGTAGATGAATTAGGTGTTTTTCGTTTTCAAATTTTCCAAGTTTAAATAATAATTTGTTTACGAATTATCAATCGCAGCGCGCTTAGAGATGATCGTTGCTAAACGTTGCTAGGTAAACGAGTCAAAATTTGGTTATTGCTTAGATAAAAGAGACCAGAGATATAACATACACCGGTGTTTAACCTGCGCAAATGTTGCCAATTTCTAAAGAAAGGTTATCGGAGTGGGAGAACTGGGCAGGGACCCGAACTCTGTGACAGGGACCGAACTTTGTTTATTGGCATCATAATGAACTATTAGATTTATTTAAAATATACTTTCAATGGAATTTTGTATTATGAAATAAATTTAACGTGATTTTTAATATCAAACAGATGCCACGACATTTTATGTAAAGAGAAGACCTTTTATAGAATATTTTGTTAGCTATTATTTACTACACACTTTTCTGTAAGAGACTACAGTAAAATGTTGAAATAGAATATTGTTAATCGAGTAAAAAATAGTAATCATTGTCTAAGAGTACTATAAAAAAAGCATGTGTGCAGGCGAATACTGCAAATCAAACCTTGTGAGTTGAACATAATATTTTTGCTACGACTATCACATAATATTAAAAATTAGTCAAAATGAGAAAATGCTGTTTTGTATTATAACCTCAGAAAAAGATATATTAAAGCTTGTTTCTTTAGGAATATTAATTAATATAGAGGATGAGTCACATAAAACTCTAGAAATGCATGTCTGAAACCAGATAACAATTTAAAATTTAAACCTATTAAAATTCATTGGGTCGCCAGAAGTGGGTGATTATCGAAATAAATTATTGATTATTAATAATAATCGATTATTTTTGATCAACCGATTATTTTCAAACAATCTATTTTTCCTATAAAATCGACTACTTGATTATCTTTAAATTAATAAATTAATAAATTAATTAAAAAGCCAATTAACCGATAAATCAATATTTACAAAAAATAATAAACGAATTATCGTTTATTTTAAATAATCAATTATTTTTAAATAATTTTTTTTTTCGTATTTCTATTGAAAATAATCGATTAATTAAAAAGTCGAATAATCGATAAATCGATTAAAAAAAAAAGAATTATTTCCTTTAAAATCAATTATTCGCTCATTTTTAAAACATCGAAAATACTTGCTTAATCAAAAATAATCGATTAAGGGAAAATAACCAATTAATTAAGAAGCCGATTCTACGATAAATCGATTTTCCAAAAAAATAACTGAATTATCGATTATTTTTAACTAATCCTTTTGTTTTCATATTTAATTTAAAATTGATTATCTGATTATCTTTGAAAAATCGAAAATAATCGATTATAAAAAGCTGATTGACCGATAAATCGATAATTCTAAAAAATAACCAAAATATCTTTTATATAAAATAACCGATTATATTCGATCAATCGATTATTTTCGTACAATCTATTTTTTTAAACAAATTATTCGAATACCTTTGAAAAATTAAAAATAATCGATTTATTGAAAATAATCGATTAAGCGAAAATAACCAATTAACTAAGAAGCCGATTCTACGATAAATTGATTTTCCAAATAAAATAACTGAATTATTGATTATTTACTTTTTTAATATTCCTTTTAAAAT